TATCAAGTGCAATGTTACCTAAGTAACCATGCTTCTATAGGTGATGTCAGCCCATCTTGCAAGCACCAATTCCAAAACTCAGTGTTTCCCAACCACCATTTAGGAATCAATAGCTTGTTCTGCTCAAAAAAGTAGCAATAGACCAAGGTAACATTCCCTAACTCAAGTAAGCAAAAGTCCAGGTCTGTGAGTATTTCCAGGTATTAAATGGGGCTATTATTCTTCACTATCACCAAAAATCTGAACAGATGCCATTTTCTGGGAACACTGTTCCAAGAAATTTTAATATTGATAGTAATTACTATCAGACCACTTCTAGTTTAAGGTTAAACCAATACATGAAGGAAAGTTATTCCTATTCCCAATGAACAATTTTTAAATTTATATTATTTATTTATTGTTATTATTTAGTGTGCGTGTATGTGTGAGTGCATGACATGTGCATGGGAGAGGGTGCATACATCCTGATATATGTACACAGGTCTAAGACCAACCTTATGGAATCTGCTCTCTCCCTTTATCATGTGAGTTCTAGAATCACATAGGTACCCACGCTTGAGCAGCGTGTGTCTTCACCGGCTGGTCGTACTCCATGGCCTCAAACAGCGACTCTGGAATAAACTCATGGTTCTTATTTACACATGCTTATGTGCTTAAACGTCCTTAGCTTTCCCTTTATACCTGCAATATAGATATAGCAGCGTCTTTCAGTGCTAATGTAATTCTTTAATTGCATAATAATGGTATTATAGATTACAAAGCATTAAATATTGGTAAGTGTTCATTAGCAGTTTACATAGGTCTCGTTCATTCCAGGACTCAAAAAGCTACAGAGAAAAGAAGAAAGCTGCTTCTTCCTCCTCCCCACACTACCTTCCCTTCTTCGCTTTCATAATCCATATGCAACAAATCCCAGGAGTTTCTGGTGTTTTATCCCAGGTTCATTCATATTTTGGTATAAATATGTGAGTATTTTTATATAGTGTACAAATTTTCTTATTTTAATACTACTTTGCATCTAACATTTTTCATTAACCATTAATCTGAAGGTTAATTCTACAACAACATAAATGAAACTGACCACCAAGTTCTAAAGGGTAGCAAAGAGGAACAACAATAGCTTACATCTTTATAGACATGTCTATGACTGACCACAATTCAAAAATAGGTAATTAATATCTGACACTGGGCTTTTGATTTAATAGGCTACAGTGTCTTAGGGAGGCATTCCACCCATTATAGAATAACCTCATTTAATCCCCTTTTATACACGCATATGTTTATACTTTAGGACTTCTATATTTCCTATGACATTTTTCAAAGGTCCTTAGTGTTATCCTTCCCCAGACTCCTGAGAGAGAGAAAACTCATAAATATGGAAGGGAAAGGTGGTGTGGGGATTGTAGGAAGATATGGACAGGAAGGAAAGAATAAGAGGTAAATTTGATTAGAACAATATACAAACACACTTATATGTATGTGTGTGTATATATATACATATGCATATACATATACATATGCCTCCATAGGTGGCTGACTTAAGTTGGGCTTTTAGATGGCCTTGGGTTAAAATAAAATAGAGGAAAAAGAATGTGCTGTAGATTTTAATTACTCCTTTGCCAAGCACTCCGTGAACAGAAACTATAAAACTTTATCATCTGACAAATGTTCCCTTTTACTGAAGTGTAAACCCAGTTCTAACAGCCATTGTGTTCTAAGCTGTTGACTTCAAACTGTTAGAAAGGGAAGAAAGAGCAGGCAGAGGTGACAGGCTCTGCAGATGCGGCACCTTCTCAGTCTCCGCAGCTTCCCTTTGGGGATCCAGATAGCTTCGAGCGGCTGGCAGTGCCCAACGAAACCCAGGAAAAACATCTGCAATGTCCCCCTCTATGCTTTGTAAAACAGTGTAGAAGCCCTCTCTTCAAGATCAAGGTTAAAAAGCCAAAATGTGGCAGGAGACTTGGGGCACAAACAAATTAGAATCTAAGTTTATATGATATCCATTAGAATAACATGCTCTGCTTCTCCTCTTCTCTGTGTGTGTGTTTATGTACACACACATACATACATACACATATATGTATATGAACATGGATTCATCCTAAGGAAGAATATATACTTAGAAAGACATATGTCGACCTTAAAAACTCATTCACTCACCCCACAAGCTTTTGAAAGCCCTTGTGATTCCTTCAGGTTTCAGTAAGAGGGAGGAGAGGAGATTTGACAGAAGGGTCCTGAGTGAGCTGGGCAATACAGATAGTACAGCAGGGGTCTGAAATCGAGCCCCAGCCCAGTGCAGCATCGCAGACAAAGCAAAAGGGCCACATGGAAGCTTTGCAGTTCCAGGATATAGGGAAAGGTCTCTCCGTATTCCTGTTAGGTTGAAGGAACCTATTTGCCAAGTGGTTTGGGTTGAAAGAGGGGGTGTCTTGGAAAGCTAAGGTATGTTTTAAAGTAAATTGTGTTGGTAAAAAAAAAATATCTGTGAGACATGACCTTAGGCAGGCTGCCTCCAACCCTGCAGTTACTAATCTGTAGGTCATGACCCCTTTAGGAGTCGAATGACCCTTCCAGAGGGGTTACCTAAGGCCATCAAAAAGCACAAGTATCTACATTATGATTTGTATCAGTAGCAAAATTACAGTTGTGAAGTAGGAATGAAGTAATTTTATGGTAGGGACTAACAACAACATAGGGACTGTATTAAAGGGTCAAAGCATAGAAAGGTTGAGAATCACTGTTTAACCTCGGAGGACAAAAAAGGTGGTGTGGTTTTGTCCTTTCTATTTAGGGCCTGTTTAACCTGGAAGACTGACTTTCTCCTCTGTGTGACATGACATACACAAGGCAGAGTGACACAGGCTGTGAGAATTGTGAATGATGGCTTTGTGTGACAAGACACAGCAATACACACGAAGATTCAGAGATATTTTATTCTGGAGTCTCTAAATTACTCACCTTTATCACTTGGCATTAGTTTGTGGTTCTCTATGTTTAACAAAATGATTTATTTTTTCCTTAGTATTTATATTGCTTATTTGGGAATTTAGTATCATGAACCCCCAGCGCACTCACTCCCTAGTCCTCTCACATCTGACCCCTCACCTTCGTGACTTCCTCAAACCAAAAAAAGGAAAAAATGTACAATTTGTGTTGCCCATATACTCACTGGAGCGTCGTCAAACTCCTGATTGCCAGTCCCTTAAAGAAACTGAGTCCTTCCGCACCTTCAACCCAACAGAAGCCATCAGTTGTGGAAACATAGACTTCAGCATCATTACCACCATTTTTGAGATTTTCCTTCAGTGGCTTTCTTTCCAGGCTGTTACTTTTGGGGGAGGCTGGGCTGGAGTAGGGATTGTCACAGAGGCCTCATATGACTCTTTCTGAACTGTGAGTCTGAAGTCATCAATATTGTGGCAATTGTAGTTTCCTTGTTCTTTATAATCAGCAAGAGCTGAGATCACAGACCTCTCTATGGTGTCTGGCAAGACCTCTCTATGGTGTCTGGCAACAGCACAGACCATAGACATCCATATAGTCTCCAGCATCAACATGTGCCACGGACCTCAACATAGTCCCTAGGGGCAGGACTTGTTGTTTGTTTGTGTCTTGATTTTTTTGAGACAGGGTTTCTCTACGTAGCATGGTCGTTCTGGAACTAGCTCTGTAGACCAGGCTGGCTTCGAACTCACAAAGGTCCTCCTGCCTCTGCCTCCTGAGTGCTGGGATCAAAGGCATGCACCACCATGCCTGGCTCATTGTGGCAGAACTTTTAAAGTGTACTCCCAAGATCCAAAATTCCAAGAAGGTATCTCAAGGACCAAATAGGAAAGATTTACAGCAAAGGTATTGTAAAGGGGAGTGCTTGTGTTGGGGACTATGGATCCCCAGACCCTGAATTTCTTGTGTCTGCCAGAGTAAAGAACTTGTTTACCTGTGCTTGCAGCTGCTCTGAGCAAACAAATTGTTTTGCAGCTGCTCTGAGCAAACAAATTGTTTTGCAGCTGCTCTGAGCATGAGACCCTCAGGAGTTCCTAATGGCAGGGAAGTGGCTTCTGGGGGGCTTTCAGCTGAGAGTTAGGGTGTGGTCATTAGTCAAGGAAATCCTATATAAAGCTGCCCTGGGACACAGTAAAGGGGCATTTTGGGGGTATTCTTGGCACCCATGTCTATGTATGTGTGTCTGTTTGTGTGTGTGTGTGTGTGTGTGTGTGTGTGTGTTTCAATGCCCAGCCCCTTGCCTGACTTGCTAACTGTACGATAGTGTGTGGTTTGTAGAGCAAGCATTGTGGTACATGTTTGCATATTTTATTGATGTTCAAACCAAGCAACTCCACCCAGTGTGGAGTTAATAGCAGGAAAAAAAATGGTTAAACTATTAAAGTATTTTTGAAGGCCATTGATTTGCTAACAGTGTCATCAGAAAGGTTTGCGGAATGAATATGTAAATCCCTTGATACAGATTGTTACCATGCATATCCTTTAAAACAGTGAGTCACCCAGCAATACCCAAGATTTTATTTATAATTCTCACAGCAGCTGTAGATCCAAAGTTATATAAACTTATCTGCTAGAGAAAGAGACAGACATACAGAGTTGAGAGAGGGGCTAGAGGAAACCAGTCCCCTCCAGAGATTATGAAGTATGGAGAACATGTTCTATTTAGGACAGCATGCTTTACAACAACAACAAAAAAAAATGTTAAGGGTGGGGATTGGAAAGGTGGGAGGGTGGTTTAAATATTTAACAGCTCTCGGTGAGATTTTGCTTTAACACATAAACATAAATTGTGAATCCTTGTGGAGATGCACGGCTAAAAATGTTTGCCATGCCTGAGCTGTGGTAAAAGGAGTTCTGTCAGACAGTTCTGTGGAGAACTGTACTGTGAGGGAGCAGCCATGTGGGGAGCAACAGGAAAAAAGAGAAGAACTCAGAACTAGGAAAAGGTGCTTGATGTCACAGAAGAGAATCTCAGAGGATAGAATGATGTGTAACTGTAAGGCCTACTGGCGTAATTACGTGGAATAATGGAGGGCTCATTATAAAGGTAAATATCCTTCTGAGGAGCAAAAATCTCTTGGAAATCCTGGAACATCAAACTTCAGAATACCTAACAAACAAACAGAACGTTGGAAAGTACAGATACAGACCTACTGGAGAGTCAACAGGCTTTCACAGTTCAACTGTGAGACAGGAGTTCATTGCTCCTGGTCTAGGTGGTTTTGAACTCCTCCCTAATTTGTCCTTTTATATATTGTCAGTAGTAATACCGATTCCATTTTGTAAAATTGTCTTATTTCTTTGATATTGTAATTATTGCATCATTTCCTCCTTTCCCTTCCCTCCCTCTGCCCCCTCCCATGTAGACCTTCATGCTGCCTTTTAAATTTGTGTTCTCTTTATCTTTAATTGTTGTTATGCAAGAACATGAGCGTGTGTCTGTGTGTCTGTGTGTGTGTCCAAATGTCAGATTTAAAAAAAAAAAAAAACAAGATTTTAATAGCACTGAAAATGATTTGTGCTATTTCTAAGTTGAGGTTGTGTTGCACAGAAAAGGTAAGAAAAAAAACAATTTATGAAGTTGATATTCAAATAGATAAATTATTGTGTTTTTTTTAAACTCAAATCAAGTTTATTCCTACTAACAGAAGGAAATTCCAGCTGTTTCTTAATATTCAGTTTCCCTTGTTTTTTCTTCAGTGGGAATATATTTTGGATGAACGTGATGCTGCTACACTGACATTACAGTTAATATGGTCTTGTACCCATATCTCAATCAATGACTTATAAATAGAAGTCCCACGTCCAGATGGCAGGTATTGTCCTTATCAGAAAATAAATGCCTTCTCTCTGATTCCCATCTTTGCTATCTGCAAATGTAACAGCTATAATCTGACACTAGATACATGACCACGGATCCAAACACCATTCTCAGATTTGAAGATTAGCAAACAGTAGTTAACCAGACTCCTGGACCTAGTAATGCTACTATACTCAATGTGAATTATTACAGATTCAAGAAAACAGACTTACTTAGCAAAGGACCAAGACAGACAAGATATAATCCAGGAGCTAAGGTGAACTTTATCATAGGGCCCCTCTATCGTGACCTAAGATGCCACCTCCTAATACAAGTGTCATAGCAAAAACAAGGCACGCAAGCTTGAAGAAGGATTAGGAAACAGGCAGAGGAAAATGCAGAGGAAGACTTCAAGAAACTGGACTAAGAGCTCCATATTTTCACAGACCTAAGATAAGAAAGTAAAGAAAAAAAATAAAATCCTTCCCTAATGAGTGGAAGAGTCAGAATCAGCGGTGACCATCAAACAGCATCTGTTAACATTTTCCAAGTCAACATGGCGGACATGGAGCTATTCTTATTTCTAGCATGGAACGGAGACCAGCAGTTTATATTGTTAACACACATATTTATTGGCATAACCCAGATTATCTTTGTGCTTCATTCACTTTGGATTCATTAAGCATGTCTACAATTCCTCCTATTTAATTCATTACTCTATAAAACAGCCAATTTTTCAAGGCCATTTACTGTTTATCATACTGACAGTAAACAGATCTGTTCTGGATACCTGGGAGGACTATCTTTACAATTAATGTCATTTTTTAATGTTACCATCAATAAGGATATCTGAATTTTTCCATATAGTTTGGTATTAAAATACAGAAATAATATTGATTTTTGTAGATCAATTTTGGACCACAAACTCACTTATTAGTTTTAGTAAATCTTCGGTGGCATTTTTTTTTTTTAGAAATTTCTACTAATAAGACCATACCACCTCTAAGCAGAAGCAATTTTGTTATTGTTGTTTCTTCCTTGCTGGTGTGGATGATTTTTGTTTGTTTGTTTTGTTTTGTTTTTTAAGACAGGGTTTCCTTTGCTGTCTCAGAACCCACCCTGTAGACCAGACTGGCTTTTAACTCATAGACATCCTTCTGTCTCTGCCTCCCGAGTGCTGGGATTAGATTGTGTGCCACTACCACCAGACGGGTTTGACTACTTTTATAATTTCTTTTATTTATTCACTTTTCTCTGGCTAGACTTTCCAATAATATGTTGAAAAGAAGGACTAAAAATGGAGATCTGTATTATTATTCTTTTCACTTCAAAATACCTGTGGTAGCTAAGTTTATAAAAAAAGAATTTTACTGTTTGTATGTTTTAAAACTTCACACTTATAATGACTATACTGATTCATTTCTGGCAAGACCCTTCTGACTGTATCACACAGTGGTAAGCGTACTAGAGGGAGAAAGTGGTCATTCAGGAAACACAAGCACACTTGGCAGTTGTGAGAACTCACCAGAGGAGACCAGCATCCCCTTCTGTTGTAGAGCCCCAAAGACTTCCCATGAATCCCTACTTCTTAAAGGTACCATAGCACCATGCAGTACCAGCACTCTGGTGACTGGGTATTTAATCCATGAACCACCAGAAAGCAAAACTATATCAAAACTTTAGAAGCTGAAAAGATGGTACAACCATTAAGAACACCAATTCCTTTTGCAGATGATACGTAAGTTCCCAGTGCCCACATGGTGCAGGTCACAGCTGCCTATAATTCTAGCTCCAGAGGCTCTAAAAGCCCATTCAAGCCTTCATGGGCACCTGTACTGATGTGCACATACACAAACATAGAGTCTTACACATAATTAAAAATAAAAATAGAACTACATCAAAGCAACCATATATCAATGCAGTGCTTCTAATCTTAGAGGAAAAACACTCAACTTTCACCACTGAGAATAATGTGAAACAGGATTATCATGAATTATTTTTATTTTGTAGAGGTATGTTCCTTATATATCTAATTGGTTGACATTTTCATGTAACAGAATGTTGATTTTGTCGAATACTCTATTTACACCTATTGAAATGATCATATGATATTTCTTGTTATGCATTCTATTACGATATACTACCTTTCATGATACATATTCAAATCATACCTATATTTTGATGCTTTACTTCATTTAGTCATGAAGGATGATTCTTTTAACATTCTTGAAACTTCATTTGCTATTATTTTGTTGAGAGTGTTTTGTATCTGTTTCTGGAAAACAAAAGGAACAATAGGACTCTCTGTAGAATAGAGAAGCAGTTACAAACCATATATCTGTCCATATGAAGAAGAAACATAGAAGAAGCTCACATCTCAATAGCAAAGAGTGCAGGGTCTAATTAAAAATTGACAAATTACCTAATTAAATGATTTTCCAAAGATGAAATTTGAACAACCAATACAACCATTCAATTTATGGAAAAGTGTCCCCCACTGACTATGAAAGACTGATGAGATTTTATCTCTTATCCAAGATATGCCCAATACAACAAAAATAATAAACACACACATTCACACACACACACACACGCACACACACACGAACACACACCACAAGCACATACACATAATAGAAGAAATATTTGACTTTCAAGACACAAGGAGACTGAAATAAAAACCAAGCCCACATCCCATTTTAATTATGTAGGACATGCTGGAAAATGACAAGTATAATCTCCATCCAAGCTAGAAACTTAACAGGGAACTGGTCTAGAGTTAGAAGAAAGTAAATGGAGAGAGAATGCCCATTGCAAAAAAAGTCGAACAACAGCCATAAACCTGGAGAAATCCACGCAGCACTTCAAATGAACACTAAAAAAATAATCTACAGTCTGTGTCATGAGGAAAGCAAAGGCTTTGCATCACTGAATCTAGACATAGCAAAAACAAAAACAAATCTTAGAAGAACTACTGATGAGAATTTCTCAATCCTCAAAGCTAATAACTAGAGGAAACAGCATCTCAACAGCTTAACTAGCAGTACTATTTATAAATGTCAAAACCATGAAAAACCGAGATATGATATTTAATTGGATGGGATCTACAGATATTCAAAATGTTAGATCTATTAAATTAAATCTTCTAAATAACAATACTTATTACTCTCAAGGTTTCCACCATAAATATGACACATAAGATCCACTGGGAAATTGAACAAAAGGTGGAAGTGATGGGTCAAATGGAAATACAAGAAATAAACACATGAAGATGTAGAATCCTCTGGGTGTACCTATCAAGCCAGCAGAAGCTGAGAAAATAATAACACTGAAGGTAGGTCAGTAGAATTTATCAAAACAAAGAAAAATGAAGTGAAAAACAGAGCACAGAATTCCAGAGTGGTAAGACAATAACAAATTGTCTAATAAGTTCTGGAAGGAGAAAACAGCCGAACAGATATTTAAAGAAATAGCAGCTGAATTTTTTTTCAAACATCACTAAATGACGGCAAGTCATAGTTCTAAGAACTATGAAGAAATATGAGTGTCATATGGACTTGCAAATAGGCACATCACCACTATTGTCCTGAAGGACAAAGAAAAAAAGAAAATACTGAAGATGGCCAAATGACAAGGACACACTGTAATATATAAAAGTACAGAACAGATTGATGCAAAACTAATCACAGTGGAGCATCAAAACAAAAGCTGTCTAAGCAGAAACCATTGCACCACAAAAATGGTTTGCAAGATTTAAAGCAAAACAAAAGCTGTACAGACATTAGAGGGTAAGATGAGTTATCAGAGGATCTTCACTGTAACAAATCTTAAAAATCAGAGGATGGTGATACAGCCCTATGATCTCAGTGCTTGGAAGTTGGGACTGAGAGGATTGAGAATTCAAGACCATCATCAGATATATAGTGAGATCATCAGAGAATACAAAAGACCTTGACTCAGAAAAAAAATTAATGAAAAGAACTATTAAAGTTCAATAGGTTACAATCATTTTACTAGATTGAAGTTTTTATTTATTTGTTGAATTATAGACCCACAGAAACAACAAAAAGTAAGTGATTTTAAGTTATGAGGATTTTTTTTTATATTGAAGCCTCTTTAAAAATAATTGTCAATGAGCATGTGACCAAACTGGACTCTCTGAATGTGACTGACAATGAAAGCTGACTGAGAAACCAATGATCATGACACTGGGTAACAGTCATCATGCACTCAAAATTCCTTCCCCAACTCCAGGAGCAGAGGGAATTTATTATGTTTTCTTTGCAGATAAACATCTCAAATGGGGGCAGTGATATGTAACTCGGGGCTGCTGTTACCACAGTCTGTTTGGATGCACACCTTCCTAGACCTGTACGGAGTGGGTAGGGCCTTGGACTTTCCACAGGGCAGGGAACCCTGACTTCTCTTAGGACTGGAGAGGGAGGGGAAAAGGGAATGGGGGGAGAAGGAGGGAAATGGGAGGAGAGGAGGAGGAGGTGGAAATTTTGAATAAATGAATAAATTTAAAAATAAAAACAAATTAAAATAAATAAATAAAAAGTAAAAAATAATAATAATTGTCAAAAATAAGTGGAGAGATTTGTTGTAGATGTTTTAGTTAAGGTTAGGCAGCCTATGGTCAGTAGTTCTCTGCATTTTGATAAGGAGACTTCTGTATTGGTCTCCATCTACTGCTGAAAGAAGCATCATTGACAAGGGGTGAGAACTACATTTATCTGCAGATATAAGGATAAGGATTAGAATACAGTTAGAAGTAATATGGATTTAGGAAAGCAGCAATTTGGACATTTTTTCTCTAGGTTCCAAAACTTCATCAGCCATGGATGGTGAGCTAAGTTTATCATATCTGACATGAATTTACTTCTTACCGAGTGGAACTTAAGTCCAATTAGACAACTATTGGTTACTCCCAAATGTAAGAACCACTAGAGTACCTTTGGAGATACAGATCCATGCTGATCAGTGTGGTAGTTTGTAAGTTTTACTGCTTTGTAG